TTTACATTTGGACACGGATCATTGTTAGCACCTGAGAAAGCAGGATCATAGTCAAAAACAAGCCAAGGGAATTTACCTAATTCTCCTTCAAGCAGTATTACAGTGGCAGCACTTTTTCTCTGCCTGGTTGTGTTTATCTCATTTTTAATTATTTGAATTAACTTAAAACAAAACAAAACAAAACAAAACAATTTACTTCATTTATTCGCGCAGAAATATCCCTCCCAACTTCAAACTCCATTATGCATCTCATGAGACCTAAGGAAAATTTTCTTTGGACAATTGAGATAAAGCGCTATCATACTAATAGGTTTGCCCAGCTCCTTCCTAATGTGCTCCTACTTGTCTGCCTCTGTTGTTTCTTGTGTCCTAAGTTTTATTTAGAACATTTTAAGGAAGAATTCATCATTGTGTGCCAGATGAGGCCCACATCTTATTCAGTGGGGCTGCTCTCCAGCATCTCATTCTCCAGTCGGTATGGAAAAAGGCATACACCAGCCCAAGGAAAAAACTGAATGATGCAATGGACTGTTAAAGACTGTTCTAAGAGCTGTGGATGCAGGGACACTTTAAGAGCACTGAGATACACATTTAGTAAATCAATTGAATCAAGTGAATTTAGTGAATCAAGACAATGTGCAGAGGCGAAGGCCATTTAAATGGCCTTCCAATGTTGCTGCCTGGCATGTCATGTAGCTGCTCCTATATCTGAGTTGGGCCGCTGAAGAACATCAAAATATAAAGCAGGTGGATCGGGCTATTAAAATTGAAGTGGTCCAGGAAGATCTCCACTGGCAACATAAGGGTGAATTTTTTATAGCTTGATAGGTCCACCATACGTCAGGCCACCTAGCAAAAGATGCAACATACAATGGGCTCAAACATGCAAACGTTCGAGTGGAAGACTTGACCACGGACACTACTGCACAGGTTATCCACAAATGCACACTGTGCTTCAATCAAGGAAGCCAAGTGGATAAAGCCTCTCTGGTATGTAGAACAATGGCTGAAATAAAAATACGCGGTGAGCTGACGGATATCACACTTCCAACAAATCTGATACAGTAAGCACCACATGCTTACAGTGGTGGAGGTAACCACCAGGTGGCTAGAAGCAAATCCTACACCCCATGCCACTATCCAAAACACTATCCTGGGCCTTGAGAAGCAAGACTTACAGCTAAAGGCACCCAAGAAAGAACTGGCTTAGACAACTGGACTCATTTATGAAAAAAGATTCATGATACCTGGGCCAAAGAGCACGGCACTGAGCGGGTAAATCACATCTCCTGTGTCATGGCTTTATCATTTTTTGTTATCAGCATTCTGCAGTATAACATCATGTAGTGCATTAGGATTTAAGAGTTAATGCTCCAGTTCCAGGTACCTGTCCCAGAAGAGAAGGAGAACTTCTCTTTACGCTGAGGCAGTGTAAAGAGAACTTCTCTCCCAGAAGAGAGCAACTTCTCTTTACACCGATGGCTATTGCTGTTCTGTTACCGTTTCTGCTCAGAGGGAAAGACAAAAGCTGTCCGGAAGTCACTTGACCTCCCCTTTTGATCTTCTGGCTCATTTCTGCTCCCAGCCGTATTGCATCATCTTGCTTAGAGTAAGACCTTTGGCTTTTCGGACTCTCTCTCAATTTATTTGGTTTATTAACTTCAGTTGTATTATATTGTGTTATAGTGTGCTATCTTGCATTCTGATATCTTCTTTAGTAAATGAGCGTCTTTCTCCTCAGGTTGTTGCCGCTGCCTTTTTTTTTTAGGCCCATCTCTCTACCCTTTTCCCTCTTCCCTTCCCTGCGGCATAGGTCCCCCTGCCTCACTACTCATGCAACCGGGCCAAACCAGCCTGTAAACCGTTGACATCCTATCACACCAGCCCACGGAAAAAACTGAATGATACAATGGACTGTGAAAGACTACTCTGGGAGCAATGGGTACTGGGACACTTTGGGAGTGTTAAGGTACACATTTAGCAAAGGCCACTTTGTTAGTTAACACTAGAGGATCTGCCAATTGAGCTGGCACTGCCTAATCAGAACCCCTATGTGCTGTAGAAACAGATAAAGTTCCCCCAGTGCACATGATAAAGAGCATGCTGGGGAAAATAATCCGAGTTATTCCTGTTTTGGGCAAGCCTACCCGTGCGACTACTTTGCTCAAGGACTGCGGTGGATGTTGTGGGTAACATGGTAGGATGGGGAATTCTGATGTGTACCTCGGGGGGATTTGATTCTGGGGGGAGAACACACAGTGGTAGTGCCTCCTATTTATTTCCATGGAAACTACAACAGACACGGAGAGCCCAACGTGTGACAGAGCTACAGAACAGTATTTTTCAACATAGTCACCACCATTAGCCATGCATCTTTGCCAGCCACGAACGAGAGTGCTGCACTTGTAAAAATCTGCACCAGCAGAGGTGATCCACTGTTGCCGTCACCGCTGAAATGCACCGCCCCCCCCTTCACTGCACTAACATCCACTATCTGTTATTTATAAATGCTCAGGAAGCGTCGATGAATGCCATCGGAGGCAATTTCTTCTGCATGGAGAAATTCAATTCCACGTCTTTGCTTCATACGCGCTTGCATATCTGATGCCATTTTGCCGGACTGCCCCTAAGCTGTCATCTGTCACACAGCAACAAAATGAAACGGAATATTAGCGGGAAGGTTCAGCCTCTACTGCCATGCCACCAACATCTGCCTTAGACATTATGGGCCAACATAATAAAGTAGGGGGTGTTACTTTTGAAGAGGCCTTCATGTGTTAATTGCTGTATCATACCGTATGTCATCACCAGTGTGGTTGCTGTATCAATATTACTCCTGTAAGTTACACAGATTAACAAAGGATGAACCTTGATGGAACCGAGCAAGGGTGGTGGTGATTAACCAGGGTACTTTGGCAAGTGCAGGACCGGAAAGCATGATGTAAACGGTATGGAATAAGAGTGGATATTGTCCTGGTTTCGGCTGTGATGGTCACCTGCCATTACTCAGGTGACTGGCTGGGCATCAGTCAGCAGGTGGTGAGCAACTGCACTGCGCATCATTTCCTAGACACACACACACACAGGCTGCTCCAAAAGAAATGCCTCCTGTCTTATTACGTTGGCCCACAGCATCTGAGTCTGTAGTTCTCCAGTCCACCAGAAGTGGATTTGCTCTGTGTTTTGTACCAGATCATTGCGTAAGACAAGCCAGAGATCACACATGCAGTAGACAAGTCCTGAATTCCAAAACAGAGGATTCAACTTCACGCACTTGCCCTCTGCATCTCTAGCGGAGCTTCTTGTGATACAGCTGTGGGTGAAAAGCCTAAAGTAAATGCTTGGCCTCTCTCTTCCTTTTTAATTTCTTATAGCTTTTCAAGCTCTATGACTGCTTAAAGGAATTTCATTCCTATCCTCAGTGCTTCAGGTAGGATAACGAGATTCCAAGAGATTCTGTTGCCTGAGGTAACAGAAAATTTCAGGATAACTTACCCCCATCAGGCAGTAAGAGACTTTCAGGGACTGTCACTGGCACCATACCAAGAAAGATCGCTAAGATTTGGAGAAAATTCTGAGGCAAGGTGTGTCTGCTGCTGTCTTGTAAGTAGTGACACACAAGTTGAAGTTTGCCCAGATCGTGGCTGTGGTTGCTTGGCCTGCTACTGAAGCTAGTTTATCAACAGCCCTTTCGCACAAAGCAGCACCCCTGTATGGAGTGGTTCTTAGAAATGCAGACTTGTACTAAACACATCATCAAGGGAGTATCAACACATTGATACTCTCCCCTCCCACAGCAACCTGTCTCTTTCCCCAGAACTAAGATCCAAGGCTAAAGCCCATGGCAAGGCAAGCAAAAGCATTTGTTCACACTCTGGTCCAGCCAAAGCACCTTGCTAGAAGTGGCTGCAGTAAAGATGATACTCAGCTGTGCCCCTGCAAAAACTTTATTGAGTATGTAGATGCATGAGTCATCATTTGTCTGGAAGCAGAAGGATTAGCTCTTTCCATGGCCATTTCCTCTCTTGACATGAGGTCTAAAGAAGTGGGAAGAGTAGCCCTATTGCAATGGGAGAAACATACCTTTCATTCCCAGAGGTCAATTGCCAGTGAAAATACCAGTATTCACTTTACAGGTTCTGTTTCACGTTTTCAGCTGATGTCTGAAATGAAAGCTGCTTTAACCACTCCGTAGAAATCCATCTTACTGCAACTGTGAGTCCACTAAGCCCTCTACGTACATATTATGAGCTGGGCAAAAAAAAACAGGATGAGGTTTAACAAAAGCAAGTGTAGAGTCTTGCATCTGGGGAGAAATAATTGCATGCACCAGTACAGGTTGGGGGATGAGCTGCTGGAGGGGAGCTCTGCGGAAAGGGACCTGGGTGTCTGGTGGACGACAGGTTGGCCATGAGCCAGCAGTGTGCCCTTGTGGCCAAGAGGGCCAATGGCATCCTGGGATGCATTAAAAAGAGCGTGGCCAGCAGGTCGAGGGAGGTGATCCTCCCCCTCTACTCTGCCCTGGTGAGGCCTCATCTGGAGTACTGCGTCGTTCTGGGGTCCTCAGTACAAAAAAGACAGGGATCTCTTGGAAAGAGTCCAGCGGAGGGCCACAAAGATGGTGAAGGGCCTGGAGCATCTCCCCTATGAAGAAAGGCTGAGTGAACTGGGTCTGTTCAGCCTCGACAAAAGAAGACTGAGAGGGGACCTGATCCAGGTCTATAAATATCTAAGGTGTGGGGGGCAGAATGGCGAGGCCGGACTCTTTTCAGTGGTGAGTGGAGACAGGACAAGGGGAAACGGCCGGAAACTGCAGCATAGGAAGTTCCGCACAAATGTGCGCAAAAACTTCTTTACAGTGAGGTGACGGAGCACTGGAACAGGCTGCCCAGGGAGGTGGTGGAGTCTCCTTCTCTGGAGATGTTCAAGACCTGCCTGGATGCCTACCTGTGCGACCTGCTGTAGGGAACCTGCTTTGGCAGGGGGGTTGGACTTGATGATCTCTGGAGGTCCCTTCCAACCCCTACAATTCTGTGATTCTGTGAATACCAGTATTCACTTTACAGGTTCTGTTTCATGTTTTCAGCTGGTGTCTGAAATGAAAGCTGCTTTAACCACTCCGTAGAAATCCATCTTACTGCAACTGTGACTCCACCAAGCCCTCTACGTACATATTAATAGGACGATAGAACCCAAAGAGTTACAGCTCTTCTCCATTCCAGCCTGGGAAGGGAAGGAGAGCTGAGAAGGAAAAATGAACCAAGATTTCATGCTGCAATTCAGTTAACCATTTTTTTTCTGTTTAGCTTGAGTAGGCACTCAGTCACATATAGATGATCCTTCAGATTTCCGCCTTGGCAACTTTCAAGGCCAATGTGTTTTTGGATTAAAAGAAAATGGTAGTTTGGGCTCTCATCTAGAGGAATACAGGGCAGGTGGAACATATGGACAACACTAAGCTAAATCATTTGCCAACTCAAATATTCCCCTAACAACGCTACAAGAATAAAGTTACCATTGTAATAAAGAGCTAGTAATTTAAGGCATGTATAGGGCTTAAAGCCATTAAACCTACACAGAAGATGCTAATAAGATGAGAACAAAGTAAAATTAAGTAAGGACAGAGAAGGAGGAAGTGCTCAGAGCCTTTCCTACTGGACATAATTGAGGAGTGTACCCATTTCCTCTCATACCTCGATTAGCCAGGGCTGTTCAGGGCCTATCTAGATGCTAACCCCTCTCCAGGGACTCCACTCTAGCACCAGATTAGAGGGGTTCTATCTTGACACACATAAATAGTCCATTGCAGCTCAAACAGGCAGCTCATAGCAGCCAACCGGCCCATTTCCCAGCTTAGCAGGAGTCAGTACTCCCACAAATGAAGGAATTGTCTAAAAAGACTGTCTGCTTTTCATTACGTTAATAGATCTCAGGAGTGCTTTCTGTAAAATCCAAATAAGCCAAATTCAGTCTTCTGGACAGTTTACTTCAGTTCAGGTATAAGCTGAGACCAACTAATGTCTGTTCCTAAGTTTTCATCCTCAAGACCAGGAAAGCTGATATCTAAAAGAATTTTGCTCAAACTGTCATTCATGGTGTCCAAAATCAGGCCCTCCATGAGCGATCGGTTTTCAGTAAAACTAGAGGCTGGTAGTTCAAGGGGCAACTGCTTACTAGATTTGTGAATAAAAGATGGAGAGCTCGTGAGGGGAACATGTGCTGTGTCGTTGGATTCTGTATTGAGCAGTTCCCAAGAGGATTCGGGGAGAGGATTTTTAAGGGGCGTGCTGTTAAAAGCCAGCAAGTCTTGGTTCTCCTGGAAGGCTGTGATTGGCAGCTGAATGGTTCTCACTGGACTGAAATCCAGCTCATTACCTCTCTTGGCTGACGATGCAGACTTCCAGGGGTCAAGGCCCCCTAGTGGGGGGGTAGTAGTTGCTGCTTTGCAGGGAGTGGAAGAAACTGGCAACTTGTTGAACATCTCTTTGACTGGTGTTTTAAAAGGCCCCTCTTCCTCCTGCAGGCATCTCAGCTGTGATACATTCTCTAGAGGCTGGTTTTCCTGCAGTAAGGGGAGGTCTGCCCCTAACTGGAAAGGGTCAAATTCATTGCTCTCTGGAAAGATGACGACAGGCTCTTCCGAGCAAGGCAGTGCTAGGTGTTGTTTCCTTCTGGATCTGCTCATTTCCCGCCTCTCACATCTCTTTATAACTAATGTGTCAGAAACACCCTTAGATGGTGACTTCAGTATAGTGAAACATTTCTTCTCTGTCATGGCTGAGGCTGGGACGAAGAAGTCTGGCTCTTCCTTTACAGTTATGGTTGAAGCAAAAGGGGACAGCCAGTCCCCCAGCTGTGAGCTTTCCTCTTCCTTAATGCAGAGTGCCTCAGGGAAAGAAGATGATTCCTCACCAAGCTGACAGTTGTTCTCCTTCAGACTATGTGTTGGGGAAAAAAATCCTTCATCAAATTGGCTCTCCTCCTTTGCCGCAGCTATGGGTAAAGAGGATGACTCTTCAATAGAGAGCGACATCTACAAAAAAAAAAAAACAACAAAAACAAGCAACATGCAGTCAGTAAACAAGAATCTTAACCACTCATAATGCAAATGACAGTGGAAGATAAAAAGAAAGACCAGCAGCTATGGACAGCAGGACAAGTAAAAGGAGGATCTTCATAGTGAGGCAGCAATAACAACAGTTAGACATTGATCTGCCTTTGAAATTGACACAGAGATATCATAATGGGAAGGATTTTAGCTACTTGTCTTGAAGTTACAACCTTTGGAGTATATCTGCTATGAGCAGCTTCGAGGACAGGCAGATGAACATTTCTGTGTTTGATCCTCCTTACACTATTTATGTATGCAATAACAAAAAGTGTGATGGCATACTTCATAGAAATGAAGAAAAAATCAAATAAGAATATTAAAATTATCAAAAGAAAAACGCACAGAGGAAAAGAAATCATAGGAGGAGAGAATGTAAACGAGCAGATGCATAAAGGAAAACAGGATCAGTATTAGAAAGAATGGAACGAGAAGAAGCCTAACAATGCTTATGTGCCTGAGACAGTCATTGAGACACATAGAGAAAGATCTGTTCGATTACATTTTTTCTTCAGCTCAGAACACCAAGGAACTCTACAAAATTAGCAAAAAGCATTTATTAGAAGCCTCTAAGATGTTCAACTTGTAAATAGATGCTCTTTCAGAAGCAATGCCTTATAACACAGCTTCCTCTTTAGAGCTATAAAAAAAAGTATCTGAGTGTTTCAGGGGCAGAAGAAAGCCATTTCCTCTAGTCCTATTTGTTTTCATCTGAGTGGGGAAGAAACATGGTCTTGACTTTTCAATCCAGAGCACCCACTCCTCTAGTGAATTAAATTAACATACATACAGCAATTCAACCAGCAGGTATAGTCACAATACAGACAGAAAAGGAAAAGCAAGAATTGTCACCTAGCCAGAAGCTCACATGCTTGGAGGACCCAGTGAAGATGCATAAAAGAACCACATGAAAAACACAATCCATGGAAGAAAATAGCTATGGAGAAAACAAACCATACAAAACACAAACACTCATTCCACCAGTCCCCTACAAAGAAGGAAAAAAGACAGAAACAAAGAAAACAACCTTTGGAGCAATGCGCACACGTTTATTGCTCCGGAAGGTCTCTGAGCTGTTGTGGGATGCTCCCTGTACCGTAGATAGAGGAACCTTCAAAGAAGGCTGCAAGACGAGAGGCTGACTCATTGGAAACTGGATCGGAACAAGGTAGGAGTTGATGCGAGGAAGCAAAGGCTTCATCTTTCGTCCTGGAAGAGAAAAGAATAGATTTGCTAGCCTCCTACCCTTCTTTCACTGCATGTGGAGAACCAGACACCTAACTGTAAGTGCTTCTAAATACTTCCAGATAACCATTTGGTCAATTACTTCCATTTGCCTTCTTTGCTAGTTTTGAGGATACAAATCCCAAGCCAGAAGCTTTGATGAAGAGCAAAATATAACCTTCCTTAAGGTCCTAGACCTCAAACTGGGGCAAGCTCTGTTGTCACTCGGTTTGAAAGGCTAGTTCCCTCCATCTTTCTATCACATCCTCTCTCAGAGAGGACAGCACTACTTTTAGCCCCAATGCTGAGGGATGGGAACAGCTGTAGGAAGCCTTTAAGCAGGCAAATCTGGATAACAATTAACATTTTTATTCCCATGAAAATCTGTGAAAGCACCTGAAATTTATGGGAATTATTCTTTTTAGTCTAGCCTGAAGTAAACACTCACGTGCGTTTTGGGATTCAGTTTTGCTGCTATTGTTGCTTCCCATGTTCTTCTGGGGATCTGAAACATGTTGCTTTTGCTGCTGTAAACATTGTGAAATAAGAAAGAGAAGAGAGAAGAATAAAAGAATTCATCTTTGTTCTGCTGCCTTGCTCAGAACTGCAAATCAGAAGCCTGTACTGAGCTAATAGAAACAGCAGTCGTAGAGCCAGCATGAGTGCTGGGTGTTATCTCTGTGATACTTGCTGTTTTACAGCCATGCCATCTCACGGCTAGCTACTAAAAATTCACACAGAAACAGAAATGGTACAACAGAGCTGCTCCAACAACAGTCTGCAGTAGAGCTGACCTTGTTTGGGTGTCCTCAATGCAGAAATGTGATTAGCATACACTTATTTGCGTATTTTATCTCTATACAAACCATAGACCTGAAAATCAAGCAAAGGCACAGGAGGAGCCAATGGTCTAAGCAGAAGGAATGAAGCCCAGGGCTGTAGTGGTGACAAATAGTCTGATTAATTCATTGAAAATCCATCACTGTTAAAACTGCTGAGTTCAAGAGACAGCAAACAGGTTTATCCTTCACAGTACAGCTGGTTTCCAGAAGTTAAAAAAGAGTACAGAGAGATCCTATTCTTCTTGATTCTGAGACTCAGAACAGGCTGGGACTGCTTCCTCAGAGGTGGAGGTTGTACCTGAAACCCACTGTCTCAGCTCTCTCTGAAGTCTCAGAAAGCTGCCCACTGCAGCCTATTTTAGCAGTAGACTTCTAGTTGCTCAAAACTGTACAGCTCTTGCCAGCTGTAGACAGGACATATAACTTGAAGGTAATTAGCTTGACTCCATTCCCCAAAAATGGGTGTACACAGAGCTCTACAATCATGTGCAGCAGTGATTCTGTCCCCCTCCCCAAATCTCTTATCTTTTTCTAGCAAGAGGAGATTAGAAGTCCAAAGCCCAGGGCAGAGTCTTACTGATTCAGAGTGCTCAGACGATGTTGACCCCAAGTCCAGCGGCTAGTGGCAGCAAGGCAGTGAGAAGGAGAAAAATAAGAGGAAATTACCAACAATAAAAAGGGACAAATTAATCTAGCATAATCTGAGCAAACCAGAGAATGAATCTGCCCTCCCATCGCACAAAACATAGAAGAGACTAAAAACATCTTAAAAAAAATCTGAAAAATTTCCTAGATAGGGAAACCCAGCTGGGACAGAACAATTCTATCCTGTGAGTGTCTAGTCAAACAACAGAGGAAATGCTGGTCTAAGTCAGTGGAAAGCTTCTCATTAGAACTTTACCGCAGTCCTATGGAAACAGGTTGAACAAGCTAATACATTTGGCGTGATACCTGAAGAATGAATGCATCCCAAAGAAGCTCCAGCAGCAAAAGCCACAGCACCCTTTTCTTTTTCCCTCCAAATACAGAGATCATCTATTTTTCAGGAGAAGCAACTGAATTTAGCTTCTACATGGAGGCTGATGCCACTGAATATTAACTTTCCTTTCAAATTAAAGTGCATCTGTTTAGTGTGGCAATTAGGGACTGGATAGCTGTCCCATTTTCTTTGCATGAAGCATTCACCTTAAACACTTGGTCCAATGTTAGGCAACGGTTGGCATCAGGGTGAATAGTCCAGAATGAGATTTTACCATTAGCAGATGTCTCACGGACAAACATATCATGGAGGGACAGGTTATGCCGAATAGAATTCTGTGGAGAAAGGAACAAGGAAGAAGTTGAAAAACAGCATTTTTGTTATCAGCACAGAAAGGTCTATCTCAAACGTGACTGTCTAGCAGAAAGATTCCATTCTAAAGCTCAAAAGTGGATGTTATTATTCACTGCAAACCCAGCCAACTCTACCATGAAGTCTCTTATTCTCTTTATACACAAGATCCTCCTGCTTACTTCAGTGATCAAATATCCCACCACCTTGCCTAAATGGAACGAGAAAAAGAATTAAAAAATTCAAATGTGGAGCATTTGAAAGGAGAGGATATTTGGGGTGGGGTTTTAAATTAATTTCAATCTTGCTCTGCAGGCTGGGAAACAACTTTTCATTTTCAGCTGGAATGCTTTCACAGGTTTCACCCGGGGGCCAACTGGAAATTGAGGGCCTGCTTGTTACCTTCCAACCTGGCTTAGCCACATGCTTAAAATATGGGAAATGATCCTCAATCCAGGTATAGATGTCTTTCAGAGTCATACGCTTCCTCTCAGTGCTGTTGATGGCAAACTGGATCATGGCCATGTAGGAGTACGGAGGTCGTTCTGATACTGAATCCTGCCATGAGGAGGAGGGAATGGCAACAGCTGCAGAATTCTCAGTCTGAGAGACAGAAGAAACAATGTATGAGTGCTTGAATAGTTGACAAGGGCTGGATATTCCATGTACTGCTATTTAAATTGGTAAAGGGAGTGCTCAGATTATTTAGAGATTGTCACGTCTAGTTCTTGCAAGTCTTCTAATACAGATGGATTGCATCCTCATCAAAAGTTTTAGCGTATACTGTTGTCCTCTCCTACTTACCTTGATTCTTCCCCGTAGAGGCATCTGGTTCTCTTTCTCCGTGCCTTGCTTCACAGAACAGGGAGTTAGTCCATCAGTTCTCATCTTCCCCAGCCACTGGATGTTAGTAAGACTGTTATCCAGCACAGAGCTCATTGTCTCACCACTGCCTGTTGAAAAAACAAGCCCAAAGCTCTGCTTATTTACAAGTGTCTCTTCTCTTCCTTCATCTCAAGTGCCAAAAGGAAAGTAATAACAGATACTTTTTGAAAGGGTATCCCTGAATCAGGATAGGAACAAGATGGTATTGCAAAGCTAAAGCTTCTCGTTTATATACCTTGAGTTCCTGAAAAAAGCTGTACCATTAAAAACAAAACAAAAACTAAAACAAATCATAACATTCAAACCAAATGATTGTTCTCAACCAAAACAGGAAAGTGTTGACTCCAGCACTTTGAGAATTCAAGCATTTTTAGCTAAAGGATTAATTAAGTAAACAAAAGTCAAGGAAAGTGGCATAAACTCCAACCTGGCACATAACCCAAGTAGCAGTCAAAAATTCTCCATGGTTTTGAACATCAACAGTAGAAAACTAATGGTTTTTTTTTTTTTATGGTGGGGTTGTTTTCAGTAATACAGTTACTGGAGCTATCTACTGGTTCCTCTCAGATAGCAGTAGCCTGTGGGATAAGATTTGCTGTAGCCCAAATCTATATCGCTGTTTTAAATTCCAAATACAAATATGATCTGAGAAGCAAGTCAAAGTAAAATCAATCCAATTTCTAACATTTGCCCACCAGCTTCAAGAGACAGCCAAGAAAGAAGCACTTGCTACCTAATCATAAAAGGGTCTGAATAATTTCTCTTTCAAAGGTCTAGGCCCCCTTTTGTCACTGCCTAAGGCACTCCATTCATGAGTCCTTTGCCTCATGTTTTGTTCTTCTAGACTAGAATTTTTATCTAGTACAGAAATTTTGCTTTTTTTTCAAATGCCAGGACTGTTTCTTTCAAATTATATCCATCAAGATTCCTCAGATTCCATTACACATGCACAGCTATTTTGTAGTTAATTGAATAACTTTCACTGCTGCATACTGAGATTCAAGTACTATGCTCATTGTCCCAGTTTGCATCCCTTTATCTTTCAGAAGGAGAAGAGGGTAAGGGTTACATACTGTTCTCCGGTTTCTGTGCAAATGAAGAATCAATTCCTGAATGCCAGTCCATTGATCCACCTGCAATTTCAGGTGTCTGTGAAATATTCTTCTCTCTTACTTGACTATTCGAAGACCTAGCCACTGCGCCAGGTTTGTCCACTGAGGGAAGGTGCTGTGATAGTATCAAACCTGCTGAACGAGAAGTTCCCCCACTGCTAATGAGAATGAACTTATTGGGCCCATTGTTGCCACACTCTTTTCCTTTTGCTGTCAGGGCCTCTATGATGCTTTGGATATCTGCATTTGTAGGGATGGCCACCACTTGCGTGTTGGGCATGGTAGGATGGTTCATTATCTTTATTCCCGCTGGAAATTTCTGCAGGCCACAGTCTATTTTGTCTCTGCATTGACTGTCCTTTTGGTCCTCCTGGCTGTGCTCCTGCTTAGGTGTCTTTTCATCGTGACCATTGTTCTCATCTCTACCTGAAGTACTGGATACCTCCTTCTGTAGAAGGGTCAGTTTCCTTCTTTTGAGAATTAAGGGCCTGCGAGGGCTGGTCCTCATTATTTATCTGAACAGTTACTCTCCATTGAAAATGAGAGGAACAAGTCCTGCAAAACAAAAGACACAACATAAGTGCACAGTAGACAGTAGGAATAGATAAAAGAGGTCAGCAAATACATTGCAGGTCTTTCACCGCACACATGTTCTCAGCAATTTCCATGCTGCTAGAAAACAGAGAAAGAAAAACAAAAATGAAAGTTTGTAACAAGATTGACTAGGAAAATATACTTTACCTCTTTTATCAACAGCTTGTGGAAGCATGATATGAGAAATATTTGCAGAGTAAATATTTGCATCAGAAGCTGAGATCCATGATGCATCTAATAACAAGGAAAGCACGTATATCTGTATATCTAAAGGCTGGGAGAGATCTGGAACTCTTCAATCTAGAGAAGAGAAGGCTGAGAGGGGATCTCATAACTATTTATAAATAGTTATAAAAACTATAATATTTATAAACTAAAGTGCAGGGGTGAAGTTGATGGGGGTAGCCTCTTTGGTGGCAAGCAACAATAGAATAAGGGTCAATGGGCAGAAACTGGAACAACAGGAAGTTCTATGCTAATAGAAAGAACTTGTTTACTGTCAGAATGATGCAGCACTGGAACAGGCTTCCCAGAGCTGTTGTGGAGTCTCCTTCTCTGGAGATATTCAAGACCTGTCTGGATGTCTACCTGTATGAGGAACCTGCTTTAACAGGGAGGTTGGACTTGATCTACAGAGGTCACTTCTAACCCCTACAATTCCATGGATCTATGATACCATTTTGTTCTTCTTCACAATCATTCCTTAGCTCTGTATTTATCTACCACCTCTAATTTCTCAGACCTAGAGAAATACAGTTTCCTCATTCTAGTTGGCTGTTTATAAATATCTGAAGTATAGGAGTCAAATCAGTGGGGACAAACTTTTATCAGCAATAGAACAAGGGGCAACAGGCAGAAACCAGAATATAGGAAGTTCCAGGCTAACACAAGGAAGAATTTCTCTACTGTGAGAATGATGGCACATTGGAACAGGCTGCACAGAGAGGCTGTGGAGTCTCCTTCTCTGGAGATATTCAAAACCCATCTGGATGCTTCCCTGCGTGAGCCACTGTAGGGAACCTACTTTAGCAGGGAGGTTAGACTCGATGATCTCTAGATGTTCCCTCCAGCCTCTACAATTCCGTGGTATCTGCTTTACAGATGCTAATACTTAGCTGTGAAGTGACTTCACCACACTAGCCAGTAAGCTGGAGAGGTGAGAAACCAGAACACAGAAATACCACTCTGCTGTAAGCAACAGATCACAACCTAAAAAAAAAAATAAATGGATTTAAGAGCTGGTAAAAGATGTGGGAAGCAGAAATTGCCCTGATCATTAGAAGTATACAATACTTCTAAAGCAGAAGATAGGCACTTCAAAATAAAGGCAAAGTAAGTGCTTTAGTCACTTCTTCTGTAGATTTGTGTAGCACTAGATAGATTCATAATAGAGCAGTAAACAATTTAAATTTCAAGTTTTTGGGTGACAGATAATTTAGATTATACAGTGGAAGGTACTGCTTTCAGGGTAAAAAGCTGAGAACATCTTCTGAGAACAATACTTATAAATATAACGCCATTTAAGAATTAGATGTAGAGACATTGCCTCTTGCAGCAAGCCACTGGAGAAAAGAAAAAAAAGTTGCACTTATTGTTATCATTGGGGAAGGTGGGCAGAACAAAAACGAACAATGAAAAAGGCATTTTACATTAGTAGTTTTGACTGGCTTTACAAAAAAAAAAAAGCTCACAGTAAGAATCACCTGCAAAGACACAAAATGGAAAACGTCCATCAGATGAACTGCTCTGTGAGAAGGAATAAAAGGGTTCAGAGGCTGCACAGCAGCTGAAGGCCAGAAACAGAAACATACACGCAGGCTGTAGCATTCAGGGACACGCAGAGCCTTTTGCAAGGTTCTCTGCTCACTTACAGAAAGATCTCCTTAAGACAACAACGGAGGCGTAACTATCAGCCAGCCCCCAGGAAACCGCACTTCCTAGAGGAACCAATAATTTCCTAAACAGGCCAAACGCTGTTTTCAGCAGCAGGGAGTAACACCAGAAGCACACAGCTCCATTGAGCTATGAGAACGAAGCAAAAACCAGGATACTGAAGAGCTAAGCAAGTACCCCCTCAAGCCTACGTCACCCACTCCAAACCTCAACCCTGACCTCCCGGATTGCCGGGTGCTGCCAACCCCGACGACCTCGCCAGTGAATCCCGCCCGCTCTCCCAGGATCCCTCCATCTAGGCATTTGCCTCCGAACTCTCAAAGGAGATCTCACTAGGCAACCCAGCTCCTCACGGGGAACGCCCAAGCAACGGGAGATCACAGCACGGCAAGGAACGAACGCTGAGCCTTGGTCACAACTCACCCCCTCCCCAGCCGAGCAGGAGACGCGCAAGGAAAAGTTAGCTTCAGGACTTCCGGTCGCGGTCGCCGTCCTCCCCATCCGCCCCCAGTAGCGATCGTTTCCCTGTTTGAATTTGGCGCCTCGCGGTTCCTTGGTATCACGTGCCGGCCCGGACCAGTGAAACGCAGCGGTAGGCGGGGCGAAGCGAGGTGGACCAATGGGTGGTTGCTAAGTAGCATAGGGATCTGCCCGGCTGCCGGTGAAGAGCCTGGTTTGGGTGGTCTGGTGGAGGAGGTTGTTATTAAGTTTGATGGTGGGTCATCTGTTTCAGTAGAAATTACCTGGCCTGAGCCTCTGAGACTCTGGCTTTACTGCCAAGTTTGGTTCTTAGTGCGTGCGTTTGTGTTCACTGTGTTCGTGGAAGGAAAGAGAAGGTTCAGCGGCCGTCCCAGAGATCTCCAGAAAAGAGCATCTGAACTTCACTGGTTTGTGAACATTAAGGCTGTATCTCAAAACCTTATGGGATCTGCTAAAGGGGCTGTTAAGTTGTTTTGATGATGTGTAGTAAGCAGTTAAGATGTTATGTAGCTTTATATCTTTACCGAGAAAATGTACTTCTTGCAAGGTATTTTCTTTGAAATTGCTCACCTGTGTCAATCTGGTTCTAAATGGAAAAAACAAACTGAAGTTTTGAATTCAGTTTTGAATATAGCTGGTTCTATATTTTCGTATTTTGCTCAGGTCTTATTAAATATGGATGACTTTCAAATTATTTCTGAAGTGTTTTTATGAAAAAAAATTCCTATGAGTTTTTTTTATGGCTTGTGTATTTAAAGTATGCATTTTCATAAGGAAATAATATCTTCTGCAATGTTATGCCTTGTTCAAAACGCTACTTCAGAACTCCTTTTGATGCTTAGACACTTCTACCTTGTTTGTATGGTTGTATACCACAATGTATTTGGCTATGCCTTCTTGAAGCTTTAGAGCACTTAACTACTCATTCTACTACGTATGTGCTAAATTTGATTAAAAGATGTAAAAACTACTGGTAAGTAACAGTCTATATGGAGATGTGTATGCAGTGTTACTGTATTTGTGTTTTGCTCAAAAACTTTATTTGAGGTTTCCAAATAATTGTTGAAGTCAATTTCTGTTTATCTTCAACAGATTTGAGGGTGCTTGACCATCTTCTCAGAGTGCTTTCCTCCTCCTCCAATTGGTTCTAGCAAGCATCATGAGGTTTCAAATTCATTTTGTAATACTGTCTGATGCCTCCAAAAAAGAAGTGTACCCGCAAAACTAGAAAGGCAGAGCTGGTATTCCTTGAGAGGCCATGGGAGGGACCCATCCATTGCTGTGAAACTCCGCTGTATGTGGCTGAAAATCCAGTACATGTTTCTACAAAGCCTGTAGACCAGAACACCTCTGCTGCCTGGGTTGGTATATGTTATCAATTTCTCTGTGTCTTGCAAAAACAGTTTTTTTAATTTTCTCCCACATCGCAACAGAGAGTTTTGTGTCCTTATAAGGAAAGTCAACAGCATGGACCTGAATTTGTTATAGAGTCTAACACATAAATAAGTGCATGTGAGTTTTTTCACATTCAAATATAAAAAAATAAAATCCTGTGTATTTGAAGGCATAAAACTATAGTGTGTACAGACCACAGATTTTATTTGTCTTCTGAAAAATTAATTCTAGTGAAGGAGTAGCTTGCTTTCTATGGCAATTGAAGATACTGCACATAATAAATTTTCTTTTAAGGAAATCTTTTGCTGCTCAAAATTGCTGAAAGCTAAAAGTTACCTGTTTAAAAACATGTTTTGTTTAAATATGACACCACTAAATTTAGGGAACAGAGGCCTTTGCTTCAGAACTACTTATTTTAAATTGCTGTCTTTTTAATTCTGTGTGTTTAGAATAGTTTCTCTCTCATGAGCTCCTTTTATAGTCTGAAGAATATTCCAGGGACTGGTTGCAGTGTCCTGAGTCCATATTTTATATCCGTATTACAAAGTTTTATGTTTGCATTTTGTTTTGTTTTGTGGGTTTTTTTTTTTTTTTTTTTTTTTTTCTCTCTTCAATAAAGAAAACGGGAGCTGCAAAGGCAGACTATTTCTATACAACAGTAATTATCATCTAGGAGAGCTCTTAGAGCTCTGTTTATTGACCTTGTGTTTCTGTTGTTATAAAGTAGACTTGAGGTGTGGTTTCAAATCCATATGAAACATTCCTTTAGCCTTTAAGAGAAAAGGGGATAGCTTCTCTAGCAGCGCCTTTTATGATAGGACAAGGGTAAATGGCTTCAAATGAAAAAAAAGGAAATTTAAACTGTATATAAGGAATAAGGGTAGTGAAGCACTGGAACAAGTTATACGGAGGTAGTGAACAACTTGTCCCTGTAGACATTAAAGGCCAGGCTGTTTAGGCCTCTGAGCAACCTGATGTAGCTCTTGTTCACTGCAGGGGAATTGCACTATCACAGAATGGCCAGGGTTGGAAGGGATCTCAAGGATCATGAATCTCCAACCCCCCTGCCACATGCAGGGCCACCAACCTCCACGTTTAATGCTAAACTAGATGACCTTTAAGTATCCCTTCCGACTCAAATGATTCTATGTGTTTTCTTTTTTTAATTATTATTTTACCCTGTAATGTTTATATAGGTAGGTTAGTACTATGGCTTTTAAAACACTGCATGAAATAATTGCTGTCAAGATGTATGCTTTTTGTTTGGAAGAGCTTAAAATAACCATATTGTTCTGTGTTCTAAATATCCAGTGTTTTCTTTGAAGTCAACAGCACTGAAGCTATTAGATATTAGAAAATATTGGTATTTTTTATAATTCCCTGAACCGTCCTCTACGGATGGATATCACTTGTTTCGCTGGCAACTGAATTTCTGCTCTTTCAGATCCTCTTGACTGCTAGGCTCCTGGTAAAGCCTATGTGGTGTGTTCTCTGAAGCAAGGAAGTCCAAATCAATTGTTCACTTACGTTATTTTAAGTTTGTACCAGGATACAATTATTAAGAAACTAGAGCCATGATTCCCTAAAGAATCTTCTGTAAGTGCACAAAGTCTTTCAAAGCTCAATAATCTGTATTTCATCGATAGTCTTCTACAGAAAGCTGATTTTAGTAGAACTGACTTTGTGGTCATCTGTTAATCTTTGTGTTGTAGTGTATCTAAAGAAAACATGTTTCAATGGGATATTTTGAAGGCCTGATTAACATTATATTACTCCCAACTGTAGCTGTAGTTGCTCAGAAATACTTGGGCTGCAGTGTAGTTCGTTTATTCTGCTATGCTGAGAAGTAGGATCCAGCTCTGAAATGTTTTAAGTCAGCAGGTGTTGAAGGCATTAATGCCTGTTGGACAACTTAGGCTTCTGATTTAAAGTCTTGTGTGCTTTTCTTTTTAAGTTACCCAGGGATAGTTCACTCGCACCCCACTCACTTCTCAGGGATAGAATGTAACTTTGAGGTTCAGAGGTGTTTCCTGCTTGCCAGCTTGGCTAACAACTAGTTTGCTTTGCTGCAAGCTAGCTTTACCCATTTAATTCCCATGCTGAAGGAAGATGGGATGGGTGGGAGAGAAGAATAAGGTTGGTGTTCCTCTGTCTGGAAAAAATATTGTTTTTTTCTTACTGTGTTTTTAGGTGTGCCCACAATCTGAAACAACTAAGTCATTGGTTTTGAGAGCGTGTCAGAAGAAGCGACGTGGTTCTCACAAGCTTCAGAATCGGGATGTCAGCTATGGTTTGCTTCGTGCAGAGACAGCTTGTCGAAGATCTGTGGCCTGCAAATTTCCTCCCTTAATTTTTGAGAATTCAGAAGTATGTTCAGTCCGCTCCACAGATATGCTGAGTCATGCAGGAAAGAACACACAGCATTCTCACATCCAGTGCAAGAAAGGGATAGGATCCAAAGCTAACATCCAGGTGATTGGTTCTGAGAACTGTAGTGAAACGCCATCATTACCTATTTCTCAGCCTGTAGGGCCAGAAGTCTTCAGCCCACTAGATATGGGGATGCCACAGTTGCCTTCTTTAAGGAACTGCGCATACAGCAGTGCACTGCCACAAATCAGTAGTCATGCTGAGTTGTTGTCCAGCGTCAACCACTGTGGGAGGGAGCAATTGGCAGAAACACTAGTTATGGATACTCCTGAGCATGAGTATGGAATAAAGGTCACCTGGAGGCATCGGCCTCATCTCCTTAAGTACCTGAGAGACAGAGGGAAGCTGAGTACTGCTGACATACTGGTGAAGGCACACCTTGAACTCTAGAAGTCAGGGTGCCTCTTGATTGGCAAAACAGTAATTTTATGCACAAGGACTTGCCTAAATACAAAATGCTCTTTTCAACGATAAAGAGGGGCAATAGCTTAAGCTATACATCGTGCTAGGGCATGCTAATTCTATGTCGTAGCAACGTGTAGGGTGCACCTTGTTTTCAGGGGGTGAGTGGCACTTTTTTTTTTTTTTTCCGGACTCATCTTCCTTGCAGAGGGTGGGGGGAGGGCAGTAAGTGCAACGGGTCTTCCCACCCCCACACCTCGTGCGTTCCAGAGTTTAGTGCCCTGCGCCACCAGGACAACTGGCGAGCTTGGGGGGGAGGGGGGAGGAGGCGGGGCTCGGCGCTGACCTGGCTGCCGCTTCTGCGCATGTGCGGTTCGAGTTCTTGCCAGCTGAGGGGGCGCAGCCGCCAGTCGTGGGGAAGTGTGCTGTGCCTTCGGCCAATGGCGCAGGACTTAAGTTACGAGTTCCGTCGCCGAGGGTAGCGGTGAGGCCGAGGCAGGGTGCGTCGGCCGAGGTCCTACAGTGAAGGAGGGGCTGAGGATGGAAGGCGCGCGGAGCCGATGCGCGCTCAGTGGGGGCAGGTGAGTGGGGCCCAGCGCGGCAAGGTGGGTGCGAAGCGGTCTGCGACGAGTCCCGTCCCAGGTTGCCCCTGCGTCTTGGTGGGGTCGGCCCGATGCGGTAGGTGCGATGCGGTGCGCTGCTTCCCCGGTTCCAGCTTCTTGCGGGCGGGCGCGGCTTTGGTTGAGGCAGCGTCTCCGGGAGAGAAACCACTGTGAACGTTTTTTTTTTCTTGCGCTTCTGATCGTAGTTGAGCTTTTGAGATGTGAAAGCGGTAGCAAGCTCTTAGGCATCTGAGTAGGGGGGGGGGGGGAAGGAACAGCTAAAGGGAGCTTAACTGACGTAATGGGAAAAGCATGTTAAGTTTGGAAGAGAGATTTTTGGAAGGAGATTAGATGGAACCTCAAATTACTGAAAATTCCAATGTGAGGATGCAATGAAAAGAGACTTTGACAACGTGATTAGTGAAGTGATTGTGAAAATGCAGAAAAAGAACTATTTTGTGCCTCTGATGTTTGGATACACAATGTAAAAGCCAGTAAAGAGAGAAACAAAGGAATGTGTAGTGGTTGAGTTATGGTAAAGCCCACGTAGGACAAAACCTGTATTTGTTGATGGAATAGACTTGGTATTTTTTAGTTGGAGAGTGAAAAAAGGCATTAGAATGTGGTGGCATCCTGTGATCTCTTGGGTCAGCCAAATATGCTGTGAAACACCAAAGTCAGCATAAAGAAGAAATCTAAAGCGAGTTCTGTTCTGAAATGAGTGAACAAAAAAATAATGGCTGCATACCCCAAAATTTTCTGGCATAGGTATTAGACTTTAAATTTTGACAGAATTGAAACTACAGGAGAAGATTCTGCTTTTCTGTTAACAATTGTGATAATACAATTTCTTTCTGCTATGGAACTTGTTTTGTATACTTTCATGGATGTTTCACAGAAAAAGCTGAAAAGTAATGCAATTTCATCTGCTAGCTGCTTCTCCCATAACCCCAGTTTATTAAACAATTTCGTTAGCTTTCTTAGTTGCAGTGATTAATGTAAGAATACTAGAATACACAGACCTAAATAAATGTACGTAGTTTCTAAGTAGATATTTAAGACCTTTTGTTGAGTCTAAGGAACCAGTCAGTCAGTATTTTTGTTTTTTCTTCCTGAAATGAAATACCCTTGCTATTCAGCAATATGTAAGATATGTTGAGACATAAATAATTTTATTTGATGGATAGGTATGTGAGGTTTTGGGTTAGGCCCCTTCTAAATATATATTAATACTATGGTGTTGTGTTAACTTACTACTTCCCCACCAATGCTGTCTTTCATTTAAGATGACTGTAATTAAAGTAGTAGCTAGAGTTCATTTTGAAGTCTGATTGACTTTCATCTAGATATGATGTGTCTCAGTGCTTTATAAAAATAATGTTGATTGTATTATTTCATTGTTTTGGTAAGTACTATGCATTTCTTTTTAATTTGGGGAAATCTGAAGCTAAAAATGTTGGGTAAAGTAGAGACGTTCACATGAATTCACACTGAGATCATTGTAAGCATTTAAAATATTGAGAAGGGAATTTGGCTCTTATCACAAAATCGTATCGTAGAATGGCTTAAGTTGGAAGGGACTTTAAAGATTGTTTAGTTCCAACCCTCCTGCTACATGCAGAGTTGCTGACAGCTAGATTAGGTTGCCCAGGGTCCAATCCAACCTGGGCAACGTCTTGGGAATTGGGGTATCCACAGCTTCCTGGGCAACCTGTTCCAGTGCCTCACCATCCCGAGTAAAGAATTTCTGCCTAGCATCTAACCTAATTTTCCCCTCTTTTAGTTTAAAGCTTGTCTTACCACTATCAGACCATGTAAAAAGTTGTTTGTTATGTCCCCCTCCTGTTTATAAGCTCCTTTCAAGTACTGGAGGGCCATAATGAGATGTCCCCAGAGCCTTCTCTTCTTTGAGCTAAACAAGCCCAGATTCTCAATTTTTCTTCATAGGTGAGTGCTCCAGCCTTCTGCCGATCTTTATGGCTCTCTTCTGAACCTCCTCCAACATCTCTGCATCTTTATTGTGCTGGGGGTCTGAGATTTGGATGCCTCACAAAGGCAGACTAGAGGGGAGCAGTCATCTCCCTTGTCCTGCTGGCCACCCCTCTGTTGATGCAGCTTAAGATACTGTTGGCTTTCTGGGCTGCAAGAGCATGCTGTTGGTTCGTGTCCAGCTTTTGGTCCACGAGGACCCCCAGGTCCTGCTCAGCTGAGCTGCTCTCAATGACTTCGCCCAGTCTATGCATGCCATATGTCAAGGATTGCACTGATGCAAGTGCAACACCTTGAACCATTCCATTCCATATTTGGAAGACCTTAGTATAGGCTATCAGGAGTGTTGGGCTTGATTGTTTTATATATATGCATGTAAACTATAGTTTTTCTAGGAAAAAGCAGTTAACTGCTAATAATTATCATCGCTAATCTGTAATCCAGACAAGACTGAAATCCTAAATTTCCTATTAGTCCTTGGGTATTTTTATTTGAATGCAGGTGACCTTCTTGAAATTAACAAGAATTTTTGTAAACTACAGGGTAATTCACAATTGTAAAATTGTGCAAGTGCTATCCTTAGATAAAAGAGAATTGACTTAACATTTTATTTGCACAATCCCTTTCAAGTCTGAGCATTAACCAAAAACTCCATCTCAATGTGATACATTTGTAAATATAGAATCATTTGAGTTAGAAGGCACCTTTAAAGATCATCTAGTCCAGCTCCCCTGCAGTGAACAGGGACATCTGTAGTTCAGTTGGGTTGCTTAGAGCCCTGTCCAGCCTGACCTTGAATGTCTCCAGGGGCAGGACATCCACCACCTCTGGGCAACCTGTTCTAGTACTTCATTACATTATTGTAAAAGAAAAAAAACAAAAACAAAAACAAAAATAAAAAACAAACAAACAAAACAAACAAAACAAAAAACAAAAACAAAAAACAACAACAAAAGACAAAACCACCAAAACCTTACTCTTTATATCCACTCTAAATCTGTGCTCTTTTAGTTTGAAACAGTTTCCCCTTGTTCTTTGACCACAAACTCTGCTAAAGAGCCTGTCCCCTTCTGAAAGGCCTCTATCAGGTCTCCCCAGAGCTTTCTGTCTGCTGAATAGCCCCAGCTCTCTCAAACTTGTCATCACTGGGGAGGCATCCATCCCTTGGATTATTTTTGCAGCTGCCCTCCAGACACTGCAACAGGCTCATGTTTCTTTTGTACTGAGGACTCGTATCTGGATGCAGTGCTTCAGGTAAGGTCTCACCTGCTCAGAGTAGTGGGGCAGGATCACCTCCCTTGTCCTGCTGACCATACTTCTTTGGATGCAGCCTGGGATAGGGTTGCACATTGCTGGCTCATGTCCAGCTTGCCATCCATCAGTACCCCCAAGTCCTTTTTATCACAGCTGTGCTCAATGCTTTCATCCCCTGGCTTGTATCAATAGTGGAGGTTGCCTTGGTCCGGGTGCAAGACCTTGCACTTGGCTTTGTTGAACCTGTCTAGGTGTTACTGATTTCCATCTGGACACTGATCCATTGACGACCATGCTCTGAGTACAATCTTGCATTCAGTTTCTCATCTATTAAGCCATCCACCCATCAAATCTGTCTTTCTGTGATTAGAGAAAAGGTTGTAATGGGAAACTGTGTCAAAGGTCTTACTGAAGTATAAAGGAGGTAAGTGGCCCTTCCCTTGTCCACGGATACAGTTGCACCATCAGAGAATCTCCAAGGTTGGCAGACCTCCAAGATTATCCAGTTCAACCTGCCGTCAATATTTCTCCTGTTAAAAACTGTATCTGTTACTACAACATCTAAATGTTTATTAAACATTTCTGGGGACAGTGACTCAATCACCTCCCTGGACAGTTTGTTCCAGTGCCTTACTGCTCTTTCAAAGAAGAAATTTTTCCTAATATTCAGCTGGCACCTTGAGGCCATTCCCTCTAGTCCTATTGCTAATTGTGCTGGAGAAGAGGCTGGTCCTCCCACTCCCCCCACCCTCCAACTTGCCACGACCTCCTTTCAGATAGTTGCAGAGAGCTATAGGTCCCTCCCTGAGCCTCCTTTTTTTCAGACTGAACAATCCCAGTTCCCTCAGCTGTTTTTCGTAAGACTTGTGTTCCAGACCCCTCATCAACTTCATTGCCCTTCTCTGTACATGCTGTAAGGGCCTTGATGTCTTTTTAATTTTTTTTTTAATTTTTTTTTTTTTTTTTTGTAGTGACAGGCCCAAAACTGAAAACAGTACTTGAGATGTGACTTCACCAGTGCTGAGTTTAAAAATAAATAAATAAAAAAAAATTATAAATGGCCACTAGCTTTGTCAGGTGGAATTTATCCTTAGTGAAGCCATGCTGATTGCTTGATATCGCTTCCTTCTCTTCCGTGTTTCTTAGCATAGCTTCTGGGATATTCTGTTCCATGAGCTTTCACTGCGAAGAGGCAAGCCTGCCAGCTCTGTGCCGCACCTACCTTTAGGCCCGGCTCCGCTTCCCGTAATTGGTTGCGCAGGCGCAGGGCTGCTGGTCAGTTCTGTTATGGGGGCTTTCGCTGGAGGCGAGTGACACAACGAGGCGTAGCGAGACGATGCTGTGGCAATGCCTGGAGGCCCGGGCCAGTCCTGCTGAAAGTGTCACCGGCTTCCCTGCCTCCTCCCACTGTACGAGGGAGGGCCGAGTGGCAGCAGCCCGGCGGTGACATGCGGCCACATACCACCATAATCCTGCACTAGTTAGCGTTAACCCCAGGGACATCTGCTTCTACATGGAGACCCTGTACAACCTGCCCTTTACAACATGTGCATCAGAATGTGATATCATTGTATTAGGGACTGACTGATTGCATTTTTAGCATTTTTGATATTTAATATTTTTACACTTCAATATTGAATAAATGTGACTGAGATGTATTCAAAGAAGAGAATATTTTTTGTGATTGCAGTACTCCAGATTCACAATCTATCTAGGGCTTGCTATGGTATTTACAG